TCTATCGCTGATGTCCGGGGTTTAATGAGGATAAATTACGGCCGGAACGAGCATGGTCGAAAGCTACGAGGATGGTCAAATATCTTGGTCACCTGTCTTACAAATTTAGATTGCTCAACTTTGTTTATCTTTCCAACATTAAAGGCCATTATCAGCGGGATTTATTCTCATCTACCGGATTTTCAGTAGAAGCAAGTGTACCCTGGACTGTGATTTCTTCTTCGAATTGTCTGGGGCGCACCATCTACGGGGCCAGCCGTTGAAACTGCAGAGCAAGTTGGTGCATACTGACATCCGACGGACGCTTTCTCGCAGAGGGTCGCTTATGTGTGGAAAGGACTCACTGACGTGGTGATACTTTCAGAAAGTGTTGCAATATTTAAATGCAAACAAAGCACTCATTTGCTGCGAAATTGTTGCAAAATATAATCAAGATTGTGTCAGTGTTGCAGTCTTCACTTAACCCACACATACCGATGACCTTACATGTCCCAAATTTACTGCTCTGTGGCGAAAAATTTATGCCCTCAATAAAATGACTTTACGGTTTGAATTGAAATTACATTAAACTCGAGAGGACTGATAATAACAATCATGACAAACCCTCAAGCTCGCTTCCGATTTTGATTACTTTCCATTGTACGTTCACATGCAAATAGCGTCTGCCAGTAAGATGATCATGGCCACATTTCTGATACAGATGGTACAAGGTAAATTGACAACTGAACTTTGACATCGGCCGGTGTGGTGCTATGATAATTCTATCGACGAATGGAAAATGAAGGCATACTTGCCATTTTTTCTACGTATCCGGAACTGAAAACAATAAAAGTCTAGTAGCATCTACGTGTACGCAAAGCGAATCTATATAACGTATCGCTACATATACCTAGAAACATTCCGCATCGCTCTTAAAAACCAGTGAAGCGTCTTAATATTCGGTTGATTTCCCTCTGAATGCCAGCTGATTTCGAACAAATTACTGATCTACTCATCCACGTAGCTGAGATAAATGCTTTTTTTACTATGTAAAATAATTGGACGGTGCTAAAGTGGAAAAAAATTAAAAACTTCATACGATAGAGCTAACGTTCCGTATTCAGCTATGCATCCATAAAGCGTCCGTCAACAAAACAGATGCTCGTTTCAGGCCGCACAGGACATTTCGTTTCATTTTGTCTGCTGTCCCACACAAAACTTTCACTACCTGCCTGCAGTAGTACATAGCTAATTACTAAGGAAAAGACGACTAGTATTGTGATATATGTAAATCCAGAAACCTTTGTCTCAGATGTCAGTGTTTAAGGTTACGTGGCTTGTTTAAAACTTTGAAATATCACTTACGCGGAATTTTGAAGGGATCGTGTAGGCATGATTTTCCAGCGCAAGGTGGGCTTTTTCATAACCTTTTCACTTATACTAAAATTAATTTAAATAGGCTAT